ATGGTTATTGCTTGGGGAGTAAAATTTATGTTTGTGTAATTTGAAATGGCAGGACTGGGAGCAGTCACAAAAACTACAGGGAAGTGGATTTTCCCTAAATGAGTTTCTTTATTTTGCTTTTTTTTTTTAAAAAAAAAAAAAGATTTTATTTATTCATGAGAGACACAGAGAGGGACAGGCATTGACAGAGGGAGAAGCAGGCTCCCCTGTGGGGAGCCCGACACAGGACTGGATCATGGGACTCCAGGATCACACCCTGAACTGAAGGCAGACGCTCAACCACTGAGCCACCCAGGCGTCCCTGAAAGGAATGACTTAAAAGAGAGGTTGAAAGATACAGTGTGCTGCCCCAGAAGTCATGAGTTCCCCATCACCCGAGGTGCTCACGCTCAGGTGGCTGGAGGATGAAGATGAGATTCAGTCCTGTCTGGGCCGGGAGGTAGAATTGCCTGTCTTTAAAGGTCCCCTTCTATCCACGAGTCTGTGACTCATGACTCCACGTTTATTTAAAGAGAACCAGAGGGCAGCCCGGGTGGCCCAGCGGTTTAGCACCGCCTTTGGCCCAGGGCCTGACCCTGGAGACCTGGGATGGAGTCCCTCGTTGGGCTCCCTGCATGGAGCCTGCTTCTCCCTCTGCCTGTGTCTCTGCCTCTCTCTCTATCTGTGTCTCATGAATAAATAAATAAAATCTTAAAAAAAAATAAAGAGAACAGCCCACTTGAATAGATGAAAGGATGGCATCTTCACAAGGAGGATCCTAGTTTGACTCTTTAATTCTTGGCTTTAAGCCCAGGAAACCACCCTGTCGCCATCGATCGGCTATCTTGGAGACAAAATTTTTCCTGCAACAAACATCCACTGGTTCCATTTTTGCCTCCAGAACCCCAGACATCGAAGCTGGTTTCTCCTTCATAGTGCAGGGTATCAAATCCTTAAAGGCGGTGGTCAGGAACTCCATGTCCCCACCACTCCGATCTTCCACCACGTCTTTTCTTTCAGGTGGTCAAATTGCTCATTCCCAGTATATGTGAATGAAGCCCGAGCATCTCCTCCAGCTGGAATCTTTAGGAATAAGCTAGACTGCATTTATGATGTGTGTTTTAAGAGGCATAGCCTCACTGATTTGATATGAACCTACATTGGGCTGAGTTTATCTTTGTACCAACTAAAACAAGTTTGCTAAGCCTATTCCTTGTTTTAAGATGATGGAACATTTAAGCAGCTTAAAAAAGTAACTGTGTTCAGATACCCTTAAGCTCTTTAGAAAAATTACTAGGTCAGTTACAAATCCGTCCTCCCTCTTCATTAAGATAGGTGACTGAAGGAACACTTCCAGGCAACGTTTTAGTCACTTCTAGTTTGCTATTTGAACTTGAGAACTTTCTTCCATGTATTTTCTAAGAGCGTTCACTCCCGGGAACAGCAAGTGGGTGAGGGTGGGGGTGTGATGGGAGTGCATGTGTATGATAGGGCCTGAGGCTGGTGAAGCTAATGGCTCTCTTGGATTTCGCAAGAGGATCCAGAGGACAGCCACTTGAATGCCTATTTACCAAGCCAGTTACATAAATGTGTGTGGTGAGCTGGGAGTGTGGAAGGCAGTAGGGGTGGAGGCGTCTGTCTTGCCCTGGAGAGCCCCTACCCTCCCAAGCCATTTATACTTTTGCAAAGGAGGCTGGATTTTATTGGTGGATATCATTTTATGGTGCTTTTCTTACATGCTGAATTACAGAAATGCCTCTAGAGGAGAGATGAGGCTGGGTGGACTCACTAGAGATTTGAGGGCGTGCTAACAAATATGTAACAACAACACAAAGCATGTAGTGAGATTGGTCTATTTAAAGGAACACAGAACACTTTGGTCAAGGAAAAAAGAATGGTGGATGCATCTTTGGAATATGTGGCAAGATCCCTTATGGAAAGCATTTGTCTAAAAATACAGAGTAAGGTACCCAAGGCTTAGGTTATTTTGTCTGGGAGATCATTCAGGTTGAAACTGGGTCATGAGAGGTCCAAATTGAAGGATAAAATGAGCTGCATGTATTTAAAGGAGGGGCTGAGCCCGGCAGAGGAGCTGTAAAGGAGAGAGGCATAAGGGATGTGCTCAAAGTAAGTGAGGGAAGGCAATGTGAGAGCTGCTGGCTACCAGCACTGAAGGCGAGCTTGGCTGAGGGGTGTAATGAGAGGTGAAGGGGAAAAAAAAAAAAAAGAGAGAGAGGTGAAGGGAGGTGAAGGTGAAAGCTCTCGGGTCTCAGGTGCGATGACGCAGACACACAAATGCAAGACAGCAGGAAAAGCTAGATTTGCAAGGATGGTGGGCCAGAGGGCTAGTCTGACAAGGAACGGAGGGAGCAAAGGCTGGCAGGCCTGAGGAGAGGCAGGAGATCTGTTGGAAAGGGGAACAATGAGGGGCCAAAGCAGGAGCCCAGAAAACCAAGGTTCTGATGATCACCTCAGGAAAGAGAGCCACTGTCCTCAGATCTCTGAGCTGCAGCTTATCCAAAGGATATGGAAGATAAGCAACCCTTTCTTCCTCTCCAGACAGAAGTGGAGAAGATGGGCTGGTCTTCCAGCATGAGGATTTGGTTTCTTAACAGTAGCGGCAGGAATGAGGGCAGTTGGAAACTTGAGATTTGATAGGTAATTTTGAGATTTGATAGGTTCCTGGAGATTGGGGTAAGCAGGCTGGACTGAATCTGGAAGTGGGTGAGTGGAATTCAGCATTCTAGCCTAGAACCAAGTCTCCCAGTTTTTGGACTTCCCAGTGGCCACACACTGTGGCCCTGGCCAAGGGCTCTTCACCTGCTTTCCCATGCCTTGCTTTCCTTGGCAGCACTGCCATCCAAACTGTCAGTCAGCCACCCACCGCCCCAGCAAGGTGACCTAGATCATTCTTGCTGACCTGGTAACTAGTTTCATCCCATTAATAGTCGTGAGGACACTCCAGTACTGTCCAGGTAACACAGGAATTTAAAATAATGAAGTGGCAAAAAAATTCATGCAAAGGGGGATCTAAATTACCTCTTTAGTAAATAAAATAAAAGAAAAGAAAAAGAAAGAAAAAAGAAAAAAGAAAAAAATTATTGTACCTAAACTCTCTCCTTAGTATAGTTTAAGCCCGTTTCCCCTGCAAGGTGCTCTGTGGTTGGCTGACCCATCAAAAATGATACTTGGGCATGTGGACATAGTACGTGCTACAGTAGTAGCATCTATTTCTTTTCATTATTACTGGGTGTGGATGTCCACCTGTTTACTCTTTGAAAGCCTTGCTTCTAAACCAATACCTGGGAACTTCTAGAAAATGTTAACACTAAGTCCCCATCCCAGCCCTGCTAAATCACAGATTCTGGGGATGCAGCCCTGTGATGATGCATTTTAACAAAATCTGCAAGTAATTCCGATGGAAACGTAAGTGTTGAGTCAGCATTCTAAAATATATAGCAAAGGGTAGAAAGCACCTGACAGGAAAGGAGCTCATGTTGGCCCTTCCATCCCATTCTGCTATTAACATGCCAGGACACTGGCCCAGAAAACAACACAAAAGCCTTAACATATTGGAGATGGAGGACAAGGTAAGTTATTGTGTCTTCGGTTTCCCAATCACTGGCTTTACATGTGTGATCACATTTAATCTTTCAAACTATGTGAAACTTACTATTTTATCCGATGAGGAAACCAAGCTCAGAGATTAACTTTTTTTTTTTTTTTGAGATTAGGTAATTTATCTAAAGTCACAGCTGCTGTGTAGTTGGGTGGGGTTTGAGTCTCAGTCTACATCAAATGTTTATCTGATGGATCCAAGGTTAATTCCTTACAGGTAGGTTGTTAGTGGCACAATTCATACAGAGAAAAGGCATCCAACATTATTGTGGCATCATTCTTTTAAAAAGTAACAGAATTTCTGTTGAACAATGCCCTGGTCTTCTACTGGTCATGTGTTTCTGGCCCAGGTGTGCCATCTTGCACTTTCATCTCAACTTTGGTTGAAATGGGGAAGCAGCACCAAAAGGTTGCTGAAATGAATCAATTTCAAGACTGGAATCTGTTCAGGTTATCATTCTGTATTTAACTAGAGACGAGGGGCTTAACCTCACTGGGCCTATTTCCTTTGCCCTTGGACTCCCATCTTATTCCTGTCTGAGGAGTTGGTAATCCAACCCAACCCCATCTGTTTATCCCAGGCAGCAGATATGAAGCACAACCAGATGGCCCTCCAATCAGCTCAAGGATGAAGACCCTCCATCAACGTAGGCTAATGGCCTGAGGAGAGGCAGGAAATGTCTCCCAGGGACTCTCAACCCACTTCCAAGCCCTTCAGAAATAAAGGATAAGCCCTTCCTTCCAGGTAAGAATCATGGTCCAGACAGACCCTTTTAGCTTGCTAATCAGATTTATTTTGTGGCATCCAGTCTTGCCCTGTCTTGTAATTCTAGAATTTGTAGAACTGTTGAACCAAATAAAAGGAAGAAACTGTCAGTTCTCAATTAGCTGCACCAGTGGAGAGGAACAGTGATGTGGTAAGATTTTAAAATTTTGGTTCCATTTGGCTTTGGAATGCATTATGACTTTTTCAGTAGATTAACTTTTCTAATTATATTTTGTACAGCCTAATATTAACAGGCATTTGTATTCCCTGAGCACACAACATCTAACACAGATTCGGGTGATGCAGTAGCGGAGGTCCAAAAATGTGCTGGGCTCAGGGAATGATGGTGTTGTTATGGAAAATCCACACATGGATAATGAAGAGGGAACTAATTAGAAAGTGCTCAGCAAATATTAAATTATAAGCAGAGAAGCCAAATTAGGAATTCTCTAAGGACGTGTGTACAGAGAGTAAAAAAGGTCATTAACATTCTATGAGGGACAGAAACTTTGAAGAACCCTTTTTCAGTGTTTATGGAACCTCATGAAAAAAAATCGGCTGCAAGGAGGGTCAATGAGTTACTGGGTGGTCTTTCAAATAAGAAAACCTCAAGCAATAATACCAAGGCATTTTAAAAGAGCGTTTAAAATGAATTTTATTGTTTGAATTTTACAAGTAGTCTTTAAAGACTTCAAACAAGAACTCTGTTGCAAAACTCTAATAAATAGCTTGCCCCAAGCCCCCAAACAAATGAAAGACTAAATAAAAACTAAAACTCGGAAGGATCAGCAAGACTTCAGAATGCTTGGATGTTAGCGATATTTCTCATTTACAAAGAGATACCAGACAACGTAACAATCTCCTTCATACAAGTCAAAGAGAGAAAAGAGACAGACAATTGAGATCTTTACAAAGCACTCCGAAATCTTCCTATTTCCATGATGGAAATGTCACCCGAAAAAAAAATTCCATGGAAAAAAAATCACAATCATGAATGAAACCATAAAAGTCTGGTGGAGGGGGTGGGAGGAGTAGAGGGAAAATCCATCCCGTTTCTCTCAGGGATGGAGGAAGGAGCTGAGATTACTTGGGGTGGGGAGCTTCCAAGCAGATGACACTAAATTGCTGAACGTTCCCTACATCAAGGTTGCCACTGAAGGGACACGGGTGTCAGCTGCATGACATTTTATGAAGGCAAGAAACAAGGCCACCAGGGGCTCCCCGGGTCCCTCAACACTGGTGGGCCCAGTGTGTCTGTCTGCAGGGCTGGGGGCCTTGGGACAATGGCCAGAGGCCCAGAGCAGCTGCATCACTAGACAGGAAAAACAGCACATCAATCATTTCTGCAACAGAATCCTCTGGCTGGCCACAAAAGGATTCGGGAAACACCGTGCTTCAAGTGCACACCAGGACATGCAGGTTTCATAAGCCTGTCCTAGGATCACAGTCGTTGCTCCCAACAAGCAAGTATTAAACAATTTAACATTCACTTTCCCTAGTTATAAGTACTGGTGAAGTCTGGCTTTGGAAAGGATTAATCTGGCCATTTTGAGTATGCTAACAATACAATTTTGCCACATTTTCATCTTTACACATCTCAAACAAAAGCTATACTTTGAACCAAAATGCATACATGTAAGATTTCACTCTGGAGGGATTCTGAAACCAATTAATGTTTGGAGCCAGGAAGCTGGAGGGGCGCGGATTCCAATTGGATGGGACTCCCTTAAACCAGATCAAAAGGGCTCTAGTTCTGAGGAGTGCACACCTGGGCCCATCTCCCCCAGGAAAGGAAGGGGGGAGTGACGTCACAATGCAGGACCGCAAAGGGGCATGGCGCGAGGCCCTGGCTCTGTCTCTGGGGCGCTGACTCTGCCCCTGCCAGACACGGACATGGGGAGATAGGGGCTCAAGGGCGCTAGCTCATGCACAGGTCGTTCAGGGGAGGAAGGCATTTTCTCAAAGCACCGCCCTCCCCAGGCATTTTAGGAATAAAGGTAAGGAAACCCCCCTCCCCAAATAAACAATTAAAAAAAACTCTATTTTCCTAGGAGCAATGACATTTGTCAGTATAACGAGGGAAAGCTTGGGTTACCTGAACTCGTAAGAGCTATGGAAATAGAGGCAGATGGGCCAGGGCGCCTTGGCCCACTTTCTTTTTTAAATACGTAACAGATAAAGATATTGTGCAAAAAAATAAAGACATTCACATTTTAGCAGTTAAACTTTTATTTTACTTTTTAAAATTTTTATTTACTTTTTTGTTTTTCTTTTCTACAAAAGGCAGATAATGATTGTTGATCTGCAATTGTTGTGTTGTGCGCTCCCCAAAAGGGGCCGAAGTAGGAAGCGAGGGCGGGTGTGCGGAGAAGGCGTCCAGTGGCAGGGCTGAGGGACTGCCGGGCCTCACTAGAGCGCACCCCGGGGCCCCCTGGCCCGACTGGCCATGGCTGCTCGCCCTAACTCATGTCTATGGTATTGAAGACCCATTCCGTGAATTTCTTCAGCTTGTCGGAGGCGTTCTGGGACTCCTCCTGCAGTCTCAGGTTGTCCTCCCGCAAGTGCTGGACCTCTGCCTGCAGGTGGGCTTTGTCTTCCTTCTCCTGGGAGGTAGAGCAGGGTAGAAAAGGGCTGGGACGGGGGGCTAGGGATCCATCTGTCCCCTTCACCCAACTCTGTTCTTCGTCCTGAGTATCTGCTAAACATCTGTATGTGTGGCCTGATAGTAGGCATTTGGCTACTCAAGCCAGGGAACGGGTCTACCAGAGACCCACTAAAGTTTATTTTGGAATGCAAAGACATTAATGTGTACTTTAATGTCTTTGGTAAGGACTGTCCTGACTTTCGGACTATGGTTTTGCTGGCCGCTGTCTTAATACAGTCAAAGCCATGGAAGAGACAAAGCAACTGCAACCTTCAGTTCTCCTGGTGTGAAAGCCTATGGAGGTGTGTGGGTCTGGGCTACTGACCCATTAGGTAAGGGGTGGGGAGGTCGAGAGAGAGGGCTCAGAGGGGCTGGCTGGGGTTTGAAGGCTTTCACGAGCCGGGAACCACCTTTCTGTACACATGACAAGGCAGGCCTGCCTGCACAGGGGTGTCAGTGGGAACAGAGCTCCAAGCAGCTCGTGGAATGTGTGTCCCGAGAAAACAGAACACCCACATGTTGTTCCACTAAAAGGGCGTTTGTTCAAGGGCAGTTTGCACAGACCAGGCACTCTGCTTTGAGAAGATGTGTTTACCTTCTTCAAATCTTCCCGGAGCATCTTCAGCATACCTTCCAGCTGGTCCACTTTAGAAGCCAGAGTGGGGGAGGAATCTTTACTGCTGGGGACAAGAAACAAAAGATGGTGTTGGCAGAAGCCTCCACGGCTGGGTTTGTTTGGCATTTTTTAACGAGGCCGCTGTATTTGCAAAATGGTTTTTTAAATGTCAAATTACTCAGTACGGTGGCCCAATGTGCATTTTCACTTTAAAAAAGAAAATGGTAATCTTAACAAAGGGTAATACAAGGGTGAGCCACAGCCAACCAGTAGCTTCCTCTGTTAAAGATGCTGGATCTTCACGACAAAGGAATATAGGACAGTAAGTGAAAATGGTCTCTTTGTCTGGAGAGGTATTTTCTGGCAGGCACAGGTGTCAAGCAGTGGAGTGTTTCCTGTGCTCTTCAAGAAGAGCGCCTGTGTGCAGAGGGCTGATGTCAGTTCTACCTCGGGCAACCAGGATAAGGACAGGGGAGGTCTGAGTCCCCCAGAAAACAGTTGTCTATGGTTACTCGTCCAGGTACAGCTAAGTTACCGTGCTTCCGTCTTGAAAGCTTATCTAAGTATCTTAAAATATTTAAAAAATATGTTTCAGAAGCTCGTTGGTCCGATGCTAATGTCTCCTTTACTATCATGATTAGCAAACTAGGCCCCCCCATTTTCTTTCTCCCAATTTATAGAAGTGCTAGTAATGCCTTGCTAGTGGAGTACCAAAAAATAAAATCCCAGGGAGTTAGAGCATGAGAAGGTCACCCAACTACCTGGACAGATGACACAGCAGGCGAGGGCTGAAGACCCCTGTCAACTGTCCTTTGTCCAACTCCTGTCTACCTGTATTCAAGCTGCAGAAAGTTTCCAATTGGGTTCTCGCCGAACACACAACCTCAGAGTCACACAAACAAGAGTCTCAAGCCCTCCACTGGGAGAACCTGCAGCTGCCTCTTTCCAGAGGTCAAAACACAGATGAATGCTGGAATAAAAGGCAGTCTTTACTTGAGCTGTATCGTTGTCTCCTGATGATTCTAGATCTACAAGCCCATAAGGCAAAACTCACAGTGGCATGTGTGTCTCAAGTATGTTAATAAGTTAAATGATAAGAATCTTCAAACTTTTAAAATGGGACGACCAAGGAAAATTCTTAGCAGCCTATCTTGATGTCTGAAGGTTTCCAAAGTGAATTACATGTCTGTATATGCTCTGATTTTTAAAGACACCTTTAACTCCATTTGTTCACTGAAGAAAAATGCCAACCATCACCCTCAGCTTAAGCTTTAAGAACTATTGTTCAATCATCCTTTCTTAGGAGAATGGATTTGTTCACTTTGACTTCTCCTTGTGGGAGGCCCCGTACTAAGAAGGTATACCTCGGGTTCACTGCACCCTTGACTCTACAGTTTGTTTTTTTTTAAGTTCTCAACAGCCAAACTAACAAACTGCCCCTCTCCCTCCCTAGATGCCTCAGTGAGAAGAGTGAATGCACTATCCATGAACTCTTCTTTCTCTGTCAAGAGCATTTCCTTGCACATTTGCTCAGTGAGGTCTTCAGGAACCAGCCCCCTCCCCTGGGCTATTTAAACAACCTAAGTCAGCCTCACTTTTCCTATTGTTGTCTGTTTCTGTCCAACTTTATAGGTAACCTGGATTCTTAACCATCCTCAAAAGGTTTTAAAAGGAGAGATTTCAAATCGATGAAAATTCTTCTGCATCAGGGAGCACCTATGACACATAGCACAGCAGCCTCTGGTCATATAGAGTAATATGACACATCTATCCAACATCCTCACCACTTGAAAGAGGGGAAAATGGAAGACCGCCTCTGCAGAGTGAAACAAAAGTCAAAATTTCTGCTCTTAACTCCTAAGGAAACTCTCTGGACCTCAGCTACCATTTGCTTTTCATTCTGTATTGAATCTTCCCTATCCTGGTGACCAGACCTAATGCAGATCCAAAGCAGCATGTTGGAAAGCTGCTAAGATGCAGGCAGATTTACATGTCTGACCAACTGAGAGTAGGGAGAGAAACTCAAAACCCAGGCTCAAGGATGTAATAAGGCAAATGATTTTTCTCACCTTAACACGATAAACCCTGAGATCATAAATGCATTATGGCATTCAATAATAATGAATATTCATGATGATGACTAAGTCATCAAGAACAGTTTAATTATGTTTACAGTATTTAGTTACATAGCATTCTAGAATGTGAAGAGTCTGGCATGCTGGTGAGCTTCAATCAGCTAATCCATGTGGCCTCCATCTCTTCCCCACACTCGCTGTCACGAGTGCAGGGGACACACGGTGCGGAGTGATGACCTCGCTGCTGGGTGACCAACCTGCTATAAGACTTCATCTGGGCCAGAGCCTGCTCCTCAAGCTGGTCACCATTGGATGCAGCACTTAAGGGCCGGTGGCTTTCGTCACTAGCAGCAAAGAAGGAGGCTCTCTGGACTGGAAGGGAGAGAAGAAGCTGTTCAGTATTTGGAACCATGTCCTGGGTCTAGTCCCATCAAAGGTCGACAGCTGGCCCACAAGGACAGTCAAATCTGATCTACGTGTGGGGCTGCATCAGGAACCCTGTCTCCTGACCCGTGTAGGAAAAAATTATGGTTTAAGTGGTAAGAAGATAGTAGCATTGTAAGAGCCCTTTTGAAAACACTTGTTGTGAATCAATTTGTAGTCCTCTTTTTCTTACTCATCAAAGTAGCATTCTGTGAAATGTCTCCCTGGAAACAGGCATTGGGCCAAATTTCCAGACCAAGGCTTTTTCCACTCGTGAGTATATAAAATGCATTTCTAGAAGTATGTTTTCCACAAGATTCCTGGCTACCTCAGTGGGTTTTAGCCAAAGTCCAACCATACGTGTTTCAAAATACACCCAACTTAAAGACTTGAGCCAAGACACCAAAATCAAAAATTTAAAACCTCTCTTTAAAAACACAAAACTATTGCCACCTCCTGTAAAGGAGAGTGACTAACAAATTGAAATTTAAAATCAAGTGTAGTCCTGGGGAATTGCCATCATCTAACATGGGGATGGCCTCATGGGCTATTCCATGGTTGCCTATTCGATTTCTTCTGAAAACTGTAACTTGATGGAATAGCCACTTTTAATTCTTTAAACATGAGCAATTCAAAACAAAACAAAACCCAAACCACTCATCTGCTATCACTGTTTGATGAAGAATATTTTAGCACCAAAGAATTTAGAATGATGACCATAGAGTGAAAAAAGGCATTTATGTCCACGTCCACAGATAGCACTGCATTTAGGATGTCTGAGAAAGCAGCTGCAGTGTGAGGGTCTGCACCGAGGGAGGCACCCCGATGGTGGGCTGGCACAGGAGAATGCACATGGAGTTGGGAGAGGTCAGGGAGTCCCCGACATGTGTGGAGCCTGGGGCCAGGCCCTAACACATGCAGCACTACATGAGCACTACCACCCTTAGGACATGGTGAAGGTCTCTCTCTGGACCTGTGTTCTTCATTCCAGTGACCGCTGGGCTTCCCCCACTCCTTGCCCCTCCCACGTATGGGGAGGTGAGACATCCATGCTATGAATTCCTAGGTAGAGGGAACGTCAGGCTCCACTGGATTGAATCCTACAGCGTGAGCCCCTACCGCATGCCCAGTAGCTGTTAGCTCCACTGGTTTCCAGCTGTGCCAGTTTAGTACATGTGCCGTCAGTGTATTCACAGCAGCAGAGTGGAGGGAGACTGACCAGAGCCTCACACCTCCCCTCCCTCCAAAACTCAGCCTGGCCTTGTCAGTCCTGCACTTTCCTGCTTGGCTCTTCAGCGTACTCACCCTCGTAGGCCTTGGCAGCATCCACCAAGTTGGACCAATCTAAATCCGCAGCAGTGTCAGGCAGGGGCATCAGGCCAGGGTCAGGCATGGGAGGCCTTCGGGTCTCCTGGACGTCAGTGAGGGAGCTGTCTGAGGCCGAGAACTCTCCTGTAGAAAGAGATGAGAGGTAAAATCCTTCTTGTGCCCACAGGACAACCAGTCAGTTGTTACCCAAAATCCGTTTCTAGTGCAGCAGACCATCAGGGGCTACTCTAAAGCTGACATGAACTAGGAACTGGCTTCCTCCAGTCTTAGCTCATTTTTTAATCATCTCCCACTGTCTCATTTCTAGTAGTGTGAGACGTAGAAAAGTTAGTTTTGCATCTGTCTTTGTGGGAGCTGTCTACAGTGGGATCCAGGGCAGCTTCAGTGTCTTGCTTCCCTGCCGCAGAGCCAAGGATTCAGGCCAGGACAATGAGGCCTGTTTCTGGATTTTGAAGCCAGACCAGAGAAGCTTGTTGATACCTGTCGTGAGGGATAATGAGGCTTATTCTTACTGGACTGGGCCCTGGGATCTGACCCACCTGCCCGTGGACTCCCTGTCCCCTGGGGATGGCCTGTTGGTTTCCATGGCTGGAAGTGTCTGCAGGGTGATGTGAAAAACAAATCAGATTGGGGTGGGGGGGGGCTTGATTATTCATATGGAGTTACTATAGGAAGGTGAGTTTAGGGTTGATTTTGGCATTCTTCCCCTTCCCAAGAACATAGGCAGCAACTCTTGGGATCAGTTTTGGATCAAAGCAGTCCAATAGCAGGAGCTGCTTCTAAGGTGACAACTTTAAAAACACATGAAGCCATCATAACAACTAACCCTTGCGTGGCCTGGGGCAGGGAGGAGTAGGCACAATGAGCCACTGTGTGCCATCTGAGTGCGTGCTGCTACTGCTCAAGTTCACGGAGGCAGAGAACAGAGCAGGGGTGTTGTTGGGCTCATGCTCTCAACAGGGCAGGAGCTGGCACAGGGACGAACGAGGGCAGAGTGTGCAACTCCTGGAGAGAGGCCACCCTCGGAATGTGATGATACTAAAAATCCATGCCAACACAAGCTAAAATCTCAGTTAAAGTTGCTGAGTGACTCCAGAAATACCTGTTTACAAGGAGTTAAAAAGTTTCCCAAATGATGATAGCCTGGTAAACTAGAGTATATTTAGTGCTTGTTTTCCCTTTCAAATTACATAAAGAACTGCTCTGAAGTACAGCTGCTAGTTATTAATGTGCTTAAATTAGCAAAATGATGAGTAAATGGAAATCAACAAATACTGCCAGATATTAAATGCTCTGATCTATTTAAACGTGTTCCCACCAAGGGTAAGTAGGTGGAACACAATTCTGTGTGTCACTCACAGCCCTTCTGCCCTTTTATCTCTGGCACCCAAATTTCCATATGTATAAAAGAAGCTGCTCCTCCCCATTGCCCAGTGACAGTCGCTGAAACAAGGCCAGGTTGGGGATAAGCCCAACTAGGGTTGCTCCATTTAGGATGTGGGGTCACCGTGCTGCTGCCTGACTTTCAGGAAAGCATGAAGAGGGGACGAGAGGGGCTCAAGGAGGGCAGCCCGTTCCCTCCCTCCCACAGCTGGACCATGACCACACATGCGATTTCCACATTGCTCTTAGAATGTACACGTCTAAAAGACAGGGTCCACTTCAACGTGACACATGCGGACATGCCTTCACAAAGGGTTTATTGGTGCAGGAGCAGTGGAACTCAGTGGAGAGTGGCCCCAACTTGGAGGCACATGGGGAGAAAAGGTTAGGGCCTAGTTGGGCACTACCATGAAGTTTTCTCCTAAAGTCAGGATGGCAAAAAGTGGTCATTTCACATGTCAACTTTGGAGGGTGACATCATGGAGAAAATGGAAGCCAGATTCCAGCTGTAGTCAGATGGGGGCATGGCAGCAGGAGGAAGCTGGCAGGATCCGTGAGTGATGTCTGCCATTGGGGAGAAGGTGAGCAGGATGGAGGTGCTGGAGGAATGCACACAAGAGTGGGTTGAGAGCTCAGGTGTGATGAGGGGAGAAACCGAATGAGGCAAGCAGGATATCTAAAGAAAATACTGCTTCAGAGAAGCAGCAGAAAGAAAGAGAAACATGGGTATGAATAGAGGCAGAATGCCCAGAAGGAAAAAGGGCAGATGGGAGCCAGGGTTAGAGCTTATCTGTAATGAACAAGCAGGACCCCAGGCTCCATAGCAGGCTCACTACTGGGTGGGTCACAGTTGGGGAGGGTGGGTGCAGAACCCTGGAATGGAGGTGGACAGACTGAGGAGAAAGGAAAAGAAATGTAAACCCATAGTCCCAGAATATGGCCTTTGATTAGCCTGGGACCTAGTTAGGTCACAGAGCAAACAAGGCATTTATGAACCAAAGGCAAGAACAAGGAGGTGCCTGGCATCAATACACCTTCCCCTAAACCAATACCTGCTCTTCACTGAATGAATGAATCAGTTAACACATGACTGGCTGACACCACAGGCCGTATCCTCACAGTCCAGGAGAGACAGAACAATGGTAAGTCCAGGTTCTTATGGTGGCTTGAAGGAGCCAGTAGATACAAGTCTCCAAAAAATAATTTAATGTTAGCCAAATCTGTCCAATAATAGCAGCATATGGTTTGTTTGGTAAAAATATAATCCCCGAACTACACCTCTGTATTAAAATGGAAATTCAGCAGGTCTTGAGTAAGTTCTAGAAATCTTTATTTTTACCAAGCATGCCAGGAGGAGGTTGTTATATGCATCTGGTGCCCTAGTATTTATGGCTGGCATCCAAGGGATACCCCCTGACTGCCTGGCTCTGGTGGCCAGGGGAGCTTGCATTCCTGGGTCCCATGGAACTTTAACAATTGGAGGGATGGTCCTTGACCGGCTACAGAAAGCAGGGCACTGCACAGAAAGCAGACTGACACAAACTCCAATCTTTCTGTAAAAGAGGTTTATCTGCTGGTTCCAGAGCTTTGGCCTAGGGATATGCTTCGGGTTTGGCACATAAGTAAGGGACCATGGATGTGCCCAAGGGACATAGAAGCCAGTGCATGCTATCTTTGTACTTGCCCTCTGCTTTCCTCTGGCTCACTGTTACCTCTGAGAAAGGAACTTCTATATGCATTTAGCACCCAGGTTTTTATGACTGCCACCCAGGGGACACTTTGAGGTCACCTGGCTCTGGTGGTCAGTGGGGCTTACATTTGAGATTCCAAAAGACTATATATTTGCATACTTTAAGAGCTGCTGCCAGAGGGTCTGGCTTATAATCAGGCTAAATCTGGTGCTGACTGAGATGCTCCCCTTTGGGACACTGGTCTTGGCACACTCAACTACTAGGATCTATTAAAAATGAAATAGGCTGTTTGGACAAACAAATGTTTGAGAGACAAGAAAAGAGCTAGGGCAGGGTTGAATAAAGTTCATCTCCCACACGAGGCTATTCCTTCAAGACTGGGAGGGGTGGCTGTTTTATCTAACAGATAGACCAATGCAAGGAGTCCAGAAAAATGAGGAAACAGAGGAATATGTAATACACAAAAGAACAAGATAAAACCAGAGAAAAAAAAATCCTTAATGAAAGGGAGATAAGTAATCTGCCTGACAAAGAGTTCAAGGTAATGGACATAAAGATGCTTGAACTTGGGAGAAGAATGGATGAACACATTGAGAGCTTCAACAAAAAGAAAATGTAAGAAAATATCAAATGGAAGTCACAGAGCCAAAGAATACAATAATTGAATTGAAAAATATACTAGAGGGGTTCAACAGATCAAATGAAACAGAAGAAAGGATTGGTGAATTTGAATACAAGACAATGGAATTCACCCAATCAGAGCAACAAAAAGAAAAAAAGAATGAAAAGGAGTAAAAATAGCTTAAGCTATTTTATTAACCTGGAGAAGGAAATACACATCTAGATCCAGGAAGACCAGAGAGTTCCAGGTAAGATGAATGTAAAAAGACCCACACCAAGACACATTATAATTAAAGTCCCCAAAGTTAGACAAGAGCATCTTAAAAACAGCAAACAACCTGGTATGTATAAGTGAATCCCCATAAGACTTTTCAGCAGGAACTTTCTGGTCCAGATGAGAGTGGCATGACCTATTTAAAGGCTGAAAGAAAAAAATTGCAAATCAAGAATCCTCTACTCAACAAAGGTGTCCTTCAGAATTGAAGGTGAGATCAAGAGTTTTCCAGAAAAACAAAGCTAAAGAGGGCGCTTGGGTGGCTCAGTCAGTTAAGTGTCTGACTCTTGATTTTGGCTCAGGTCATGATCTCAGGGTTGTGGGATTGAGCCCTGCATTCAGCTCCCTGCTCAGTGGGGAATTTCCTCGTCTCTCTTTCTCTCTGCCCCTCCCCTGTTTGTGCTCTAAAATAAATGAATCTTAAAAAAAAAAAAAATCTAAAGGAGTTCAACACAACTAGACTGGCCTTGCCAGGAAATATTAAAAGGAGTGCTAATTAGTAAAAAGAAAACATAAAAGTATCAATCTTACTGGAAAACGTGAACATACAGTGCAGGGAATAGTAAATCAATTACTTACAAGGCTAGTAAGAAGGTTAAAAGACAGAAATAATAAACAATTGTTTTACAGTTAGCCTTGAGCAACACAGGTTTGAACTGCAAGGGTATAGTTCTATGTGGACTTTCTATAAATATTTCAGAAAAATGTCTGAAGATTTGCAACAATTTCAAAAACTGGCAAACAACAATTTAGGATGTCATGAATACAGAAAATATATACAAATCTATTATAAAAAGCTACAACTTTCCAAAATGTGCACATACTGTACATGGCACACTCCCAGTTGAGAGGAATGTGACCAAAGATGCAGTATTAAGTCATAACTGCACAAAATTAACTATGGTATGTGCAGTGTACTACTGTGATAATTTTGTAGCCACCTCCTGTTGCTACTGCAGTGAGGCCTAGTGTTCAAAGTAGCCATTTAAAATGCATGTGAGGCTAATCATCTCCATATGAGCAGTTTATCTCATATAACCAGTAAATTGGGTATCAGGGTAAAAACTGCTCTCCATTCTCATGTACTTTCATTATGTTTAGTGCCATACCATAAACCTTGAATAACATCACCGGAACCAATTAACAGCGCCACT